ATATATATATGTATATATATATCGATATTTATATATATATATGTATATTAGTATTTAGTCATAGAGATATATATATGTGTGTGTATGTGTATGTGCGTACCTATTTATATATATATAAATATATATGTATATATATACATATATATATATATATATATACATATATATAATAAATAAAATATATATATATATATATATATACATACATATATATAAAATATATATATATATTTGTATCTATATCTATACCAAAGGTATTTTATCTGTTGTTTTTTATATATACATATATATCTATATTGTATATATGCATGCATCTATATATATACAAATATATATATATGTTAGTATTTAGTCGTAGATATTAAGTTATTTATATAAATTAAGTTATTTGTGTATATTTATATATATGTTTATATATATATATATATATATATATATATATAGCTAATATCTTTATATATATATATATAAATATGCATATATATATATATATATATATATATGTATGTGTCTATACCTTTACACATATGTTATAGTGTGTGTGTGCGCACATATATGCATATATGCATATACGCTTACATATACTCACATGCATATATATATATATATATATATACGTATACATTTATGTAAATATGTATATATATATATACATATATACTCACATACACACACGCACATATATATATATATATATATATATGCATATATATATATATATGTGTGTGTGTGTGTGCCTGTGTATTTATGTTTTTATATATGCCTACATTCATATGCAGGGCTCTCTGGGATGCATATATATTCTGTTCTTATACAAATAGGTTGTTCGTCACATACAATTTTGTCTCATTTTCTTCCTGATTGTGACAATCATACGGATGTGTGTATGTACACCAGTATGCGTATATGATATACACAGACTGATCGCAGCTGGCGTTTGTCGAATGTCAAGCGATGTATCCGTGCACGTGAAAATATTTATATACGCATTTACACATCCCTTGCCTGTACTTTAGCTTACACGTCTGCCTTATAATCTTATCTTCAGCTGGAGTTGTCCTCGCTGTACGCTGCTTAACATGCCAAATGCTGTCTCATGCGATGCATGCGGGGCTGACCGACATGGAGGAAGGACGCTTGGGCTGCGCAAAGCCCGCTCGCATCACGGTATGTCCCGCTATCAGTTCAGGATATCCCACACACACAAACAAACACACACATATATACACATATATATATATATATCCCATTGTGATAGTTTAACTATTACCTTGACGCCTGGTCGCAGCGCTGGACCAATCACAGCCATGGCTTTGGGACATCAGTAGCATATGCGTGCGGGGTAGCGTGCGCCTGTGCACGCATGCACATAATATTCCGTGATCAGTTGTTTGCACCGTGGTTTCCCACTGACGCCCACGGTAAAGATTGTCTCGCATTTCGTATCACCTGCAGGCCCTGAACCCCCCCCCCCCCACATAGAATACATCACATATGTAGATTTGCACATGCGTGACTGTAGTTGCCTCTGGTGGGTCTTATCTGTCTGCGATTTAGCAGACCCCTGTTGCACTACCTACAGCACGCTGATGTGCTCCTGTATTTATTCATACGCACTCTTGTGAGGATGCATTCGGCCGTGAGCGGGTGCAAGAAAGCGAGTTCTGAGGTGTCGCTTTCACACGAAGGTTGGGGCATTGGCAACACATTTAACAGTGGGACTGCCCAGTTGTGTGCTGTCGTTGATATCTCATCCAGCAGTCACAAGGGCTGTTCGACTGATAGGGTCTGCCTTACACTGCAGGCCAATCTGTGCCCCCCAAATCACACAGCGTGTTGTCCGAATGGCTATGCTACAACCACGCCAATAGTTTAGTCACTGACCTCTGTTCAACTCGATATCACAGACATGCCCGCCACAAGGACTGTGCCCAGAAAGTTGTTGCGCGGTCCCCGCAGAGTGAAGGTACGTGCAACATGTCATTCGAGGAAATGGAGCTGCGTGTGGTATTGCGGAGATTGCCTGTCTGTCTGTATTGCATACAGTCCCTAGCTGTAGCAGGCTTCTTACATATACAGGCTTCTTACATATACAGGCTTGTGGCTCGTGCCTTTACATATCAGATGTGTGTCTATGACCGATGTGTTGTCATATAAAACCTTAGTTGTCTGGTAGGCGGACCTTTCCATGTTCGCTTGGGTGTGTGTTTGTTTCGTTGGCCTGCTGCGTGTATCTCTTCTAGCCACCTACGCCGAATCAACCAGTCTTGATCTGTGCTAAGACAATGGAGCGGTACTCAGCTCAGCAGACACGTGCCGGCTAATGGCAAATAGTATCAAACAAGAATGTGTGACTAACCGATTCCCCTGGTTGCCTGTGTGTATCCTTTTCCAACTGACGATGAAACGTAATCTTCTGTGCTATCAGCCGGTCACGTCAAGCAGCACAGATGACACAGCCACAGCCAATCGGAACGGAACCTCCCCATCCCTGGGAGGGTCCGAAAGCCCGAGGGCAAACAGGGCTGCTAGTGATGTCAATAAGAATGTTAAAAGTCACTCCTCCGATGCCACACTCGAGGTGCTAGATAAGAGGAACGCTGTCGAGAGTATGGATGCCAAGGAACACGCAATACAGAATGGTGGAGTGTCGGAGGCCAAGACCCGAGACCGGGGTGATGCCTCAGAGTTAGTCGGTATGCAAATATACATATACGTATATACATATGTTTGTACGTTTATATATGTATTATGTACATGCTGGAACAGCCATGTGCACACTTTCTTCTGTGTTCCGTCCTGAGTGTGCTGAATTGGATGTACATATAAGTGTGTGCGTATGTGCACAGGCATGCTGCTATACCAGTATGTGTATTAAAAGCATTACTCGCATGGCTTTGTTTATGTACTTCTGAGTGTACATGTGCGTAATGTTGAAAGGCATAGTTCACATATATATATATATAATATATATGTCTGTATGTATGCATGTATTTATGTATGCATGCATGTATGCATGTATGTATGTATCAGGCATGTATGTATATATATATGCGTGTGCGTGCGTGCGTGCGTGTGTATGTTACATATACATGTGTATGTGCGTGTGTGTGTGTTAATTGTTCGTGCGTATATGCGCGTATTTTATTCGTGAATGCTGTCTGTCGAGTATGGAAAGGGGAGGAGGTTGTAATTTTCTGCATAAGCTCCCTTATAAGTACATATACACTTCATTTCGTGCGTTTTCGACCTGAACTAACCATCCACTGGATTGGTGTGACTGCAGATGCATACGCTCAACACACACTCGTTCCTATTCTCTGCGTAGACAGTACGGGAGGTATTGATAAAAAGCCAATGGGTAATGACATTACTAATCCAGACCTGAAAAGTGCGGGTATAAAACGGGTCCGCGATACGAACGGGGACAGCAGCGCGCCGAAGGCCAAAGGATTGTCCTTGCGCGAGAAACTGAAGGCGCTGAAACGCAGGCGGACGGAAGAGGAGAGTGGATCTGTAGTCCGATCTGGGAGCACCAATCTGGGTACAAAAGAGGACAGGACAGACAATGGCAAAACGGGGCCTAGCGAGACAGCGGAGGGGGCGGCAAAGTTCGGTACGTCCGAGAGGGCGACGAGTTCTAAAAATAGAGACAGCGCCATTGCGAGCGTAGAAGGCGCGGTCGAACCGCATCCGAGGAGTTCGAAAGTACAGGAGCAGATTCAGGGGTCACGCGCAGACGCAGGGGCTGTGGCGGACTCAGCGGACAGTGCCAGTACAGTTGCTGCCAACAGAGGGAGGGGATTGCAACAAGGAGCAGCTACCACGACACGTACGCTCACATGTGGCTCTGAAGCGAAGCCCACCACGCAAGCAGTCACGTGCAGTGTGGAGGGTGACGAGGCCTGCGATGGCAACTCAGCCACACAGGCGGGTGTGACTACGGTGAAGAGGGTAGCTGGACAATCCGAAGACAATCCTCAGCGTGTTAAGGGTATTGCTCCTGGGGGTGTCGTTGATCGACCGGAGGGCGCAGTACACCTGAATACAAATACGGACAAACACTCACACGCACACACGCACGCGACCACAAGGATGGAGAGGAGAGGCAGCACTTCAAGTGCTGGTAAAGGTACGAAACACAGCAAGGGACCGCGGCGGAAAGACAGAGAGTGGGACACGAGCGACGACGACAAGGGGGCGTGCAAGGGAGCTGGGCGCAAGAGCGGTGCGGAGAATGTACCGGATGTGTCACTGCGTCGAGGGACGCTGACTCAGACACGCGCGAAGACACAGGACAATGCACATGACAAGGCCCGCGCGCGGAAGGACAAAAGGTCTCGGAGTGGGTCTGGAAAGGGGCGGGAAAGACACCTGAGCTCGGATAGAGAGAGGGACAGGGACGCACGGGCGAGCAGTGGCAGTCGGGGAGATGGCACCAGCCCGTCGGCTATAGATAGAAGTACCAATACAAACACCGCAAGCAGTGACCGCGCGAAAGAGCGCCGGAAAGAGCGCCAAAGGGAACGCGACGAGGAGCGCGAGATGGACATGCCCATACCCAAGAAGAAGAATGTCATGATAGTGGCGCCAAATGTGGTAACCAATGGGAATAGGGCTGAACTCTCAGTCAATCTGCACAATGTCAAGACTTTCCGCATGTGCTCGCCCGCACCACCACCCACGAGCGTGCAGCGACAGGCAAACACCATCACGCATACATACACGTACACGAACGTACAGACACAGACACAGATGCAACCACAACCACCACCACACGCATACACGCTGACTAATCTACGTGCGAATGGGAACGCTGCTCAGCCTGGGGCGCAGACCGGACCACAGGGGTATGGACACGCATATGCACATCATTATATACACACACCACAAAACCATACCCTGACACATACGATACCACCCCCCGGGTTCACTGTGACGAACGCTTCGCACCAGACGCTGACAGAGACCAGTGTGTGTGGTGAAGCGATGGGTGTGGGCTTAAACAAGCGTGTGTTGCCAAATGGCTCGGCAGCAAGTGTCCCACACCCCCAAGCGAACGGCCATCCGCACTCGGCAAGCGCAGGTGTGATGAAAAATCCGACAGAAATCCGACCCGCGTTCTCGGATTCGGATTCGGATGTGGAGATGCGCGATGACGATGCGCACATAGAGGCCGACTATGTGTCTGACAGCGGGCATACTGAAACTGTGGCGAGGGATGTGAACAGGGATACGGATCTGGAGCCAAAGGATATGGACCTTGAAGACGCAGTAGACCCCTCAGAGGGCACAGGAGCTGATGTGAATACCTGTTTGGGCGAAGCCCTGGATGGCGCTGAGCAGCGCGAGCACCGACCGGGGGATAGGCTGGGCGATACTAATGGTATGAGAGAGTCAACTGCAATGGCCAAAGGGGACGGACAAGTGCATGCGCAAGACGGAGGGTTACAGTCAATGAGTGGGGGTGTGCGTGTCAAGAGCGAGGCAGACGCGGACAAGTTGTCACAGTCGGTTCTGTCCAATGGAGTGTGGGTGCGGGCTGAGGCTGAAGGGATTGCGGATCATCCGACGCAGACAAACACACCTGCGCCTTTGAGAGAGCGGGGGACGGCAGGTGCGGGGAAGGCAGAAGGTGACACTGAGCGAGCCGCGAAAGAGTCGGATTCGTCGCATTGGCGTACGCCGGACATTAAGGTGGAATCTACCTCACAAGCCCTACCGTCGATGCTCAAGGAAATGGGAGAGAGTACTGTGCAGGAAGGACAAAAGCCACTTCAATCGGACCAGAATACGATAAACGAGGATAGGGAACCGGAATTTTTGGAAACGAAGGACGCGCCCAGAGGCTCGATGGAATGTCCGTACATGCCTGCTGATATACTCGGTTGGAAGAAGCTAAGGTGTGCGGCCAGTAGTATTTCTGTACTATATTATATATATATATATTATGATATATATATATACATATATATATTATGATATATATATATATATATATGTGTGTGTGTGTGTGTGTGTATGTGTGTGTGCGCGCGCGCGTGTGTGTGTGTGTATATATTATATATATATATATATGTGTGTGTGTGTGTGTATGTATGTATGTATGTATGTATGCATATATATATATATATACATAAATGTATATATATACATTTATACATATATATGTATATATATATATATGTATCTATACATATAATATATGTATATATACATATATATGTATCTATTTTTATGTATGTACGTATGTATATATGTGTATGCGCGTGTACATATTTATATATAAATATGAATAAGCACTTTTATACACAAATTTACGGGTATACCTTTCTGCGTGTATGTGATTGAATACGGAATGCATTTTCAACCCCCGGCGTGAGATATATATATAGGAATATCAGGCTCGCTTTCGTGACATTACACCTGCACGGATAAGCCACTCTATACATTCTTAGGTTGGCTGTGCCTGTCATGTATGTGGTTTTATGCGCATACACCTGGGCGTGGAAAAATCTTGACAATCACATACAATGACAATTTGTCGCAGATAACCCTATTTACGCTATCATATTGCTTTCACCTTGCCCTGTTTGACCTATGCCCTGGCTAGGTATGTATATACTTGCTTAAAGTTATATACAAATACCCCTCGATTTAGCATGAACATTTCTAGACCACATCTTACACACACATGCTTGCAATGAAACGAATATGACTATGTATTCGGACACAGAGTGGTCCCGTACTTTGCTTCATTTAAACCCGTCGCTCTCGCTGTACTTCAACCGACTGTGCCTGCGTAGACCATCTGATCCCTACTTTCACTATTGGTTTCAACTCAATATATATGCAGACACTATTCGTATCATCCCAATATATATGTAAACAACCAAGGTCCGCCAAATATTCACTTTGTATCTGTATATGTGGACACAGTGCGCATGGGGGCGGGCATTCTATCGCCTGTCTATATTCATGCCACTTGCCTAGTATTCCCAGAGGACCCGCCGGCGTAGTCCATGTGAACCCTTATACATTACCAGTGGTTTATTTATTAATTTATTTACCTATTGTTTTAGGGTTTCGGGTTTTTAGGGTTTTAGCCTGTTTGATGTGCGTGCATTTGTTAGGACTGTTCTGTTGTATCGGTGCGTTGAGTCGAGAAGTGCACATGCAGATGAGTCTCGTTAGGGGACGGCGCATACTGCATGACGAGCCCTACATTCGTATACAACCGGCAGAATCATTTTGAATCGCGACGCATCAGTCCCATGCAACACACGCACACGCGCTAGCCTGTATTGCTTCGTGTTGGTTTGCACACGTTCTGTGGCACACACACACTCACACAACGCCCCTTGTTCGTATCGCCACGGCTTGTGCATGTATTATATACTTGTACATGTGTAGGCACGGCGTCTACCTGGAGATCGACAGCCAGGGCGGGGGCTATGTGCTGCACGTGTTCATGTCGCAGGCTCTGCGCCAGGCGGACGTGGCCACGCAGCAGTTATTTGTCGAAGACATTGTGCATGAATCGCTGAATGAAGATGCCGACGGCTACGCGTTCCTGTGCATGACCATAGTCCACGGCGCCGGAAGTTCGGTACCGAATGTGCTAAAGTAAGTCTGTCTGTCTGTCTGACCCGACTCGTCCTGCCACGGATTAGTTTTAGAATACGTTATATGAACACGGCCCTTGTTCCCGTCGCTGGCCTTGCTACCCTAAAACCTTAAACTTCAAAAACCCTAGTAGCGGAGTGTGCAAAGTATGTCTACTGAGCCCTGCTGCGCAATTTTTTTATGTAGATACACGCCAGTTGCTGTGCCAAATTTGCTAGAGTATATGCTTCTCAATTTACCTATTCTCGTAAACACACGCGAAGGGAAGCGTGCATGTGTACGGCTATGGTACACGCAGTCAGCACGGCTGTGGCCACTGAAAGATATGTATGCATGTATATATCATGCGTACATACACATACACACACATAT